GTTTACAATAACCATAGAGTGCTGTGTCTAGACCTGGCGCCTTTACCACAGATCATATCATAGACAATTTTTTAATAAGACAGTTTAGAAACAAATAGTAATTTTTTTTAAATTTAAAAATACTGCCGTTACTAAATGTTTTATTTTCACTGTCTAAGGTAGATAATTAATTAAATTACGTAATACAAAAAGCGAACAAAAATGTTTCTTTGTCTCAACTTAAAAGTTTCAAGTAGAATAATTAAGTTTGGAAAATTTTAAAGTTGACGATAAAATGTTTTGTGAAAGCAATTTTTGTTTGTAAGTTTTGACTTTAGTTAATTAATTTAGAGTGCTAAGTGGGAGATTCGTGTCTAAAATAATGTATTTATTAACTATAGTAAAGCAATTTGATTTCACAAAATTAATATGTACAACAGAAAAATTACAAGGAAACAAACTATTCAATTTGACACCGGCTAAAAATATATATTTTTTTTACTTTTTCCTTCCTCAGTTGATACAATTTTATTAAATGTGTTAATTAATTGCACAATTATAGTTTCCAAATATTAATATTATTAGTATATTTTAGGGTTATGTACCTTAACTTAGAGGAAGTAGGTACTTGGGTAAAATAAAGTGACATCCAGAAATAACGGAAAGTTCTGGCTCCTGCTTATAGTTCTTATCGGACTTTAGATAATTTAAATATTACCCTCGATTTAACTCAAGTTTTAGAGGCTCCTACAAAATCCATCTTTTCGTCAATTTTCCAGTGTTAGAAGCTCTCCTCACTACTTAAATAAAATTATTGTTTATCCATACAAATTTGAATAACCGAGCAATAGATTTCTAGACTTTACCAAGTCTCTGAATACAAAGGGATGATGTAACTAAAAGCCATATATTTTCAGATCTTCATGCACAAGAACGCAATGCAGATGCATGCGAGAGAACTCCAGCGAGGGTTAGGAGGGGAAGTCAAGCCTCACCAGTGCCAGCAGTGTCTCAAGTCCTTCAGCTCCAACCACCAGCTGGTCCAGCATATCAGGGTCCACACTGGAGAGAAGCCATACAAGTGTTCCTACTGTGATAGAAGGTTCAAGCAGCTGAGTCATGTGCAACAACACACAAGATTACATACAGGTTAGTAGTTTTTATTATTGTTGGCAACATTTTGTTATAGCCGAACGTATAGCTAATATATTTGTACTATAAGAACTTTAATAACGACAAATATATTTGGTTTATAATAACCTTCGTAGTACGTATTAAATTACCTATTATACCTATTTAGACAAACGTCAAGTCTCAAAAAAAAAATAGAAATAGTTCATATTTAAATTAAATTTCCTTCTACTATTCCTTACTGTTGTAAGTTCAGATTCAAGACTCCGTAGGTTTTTTACAGATAATAAAATTTGTTCAATACTTATAAATTAACTTTTAGACAAGAATTTTTCATAAGTGACGGTTTTGTAGGTGAGATATTTTTTTAATAAAAACTTTTTAAACGTTTCAAAAGGGATGAAACTTTGTAAATTAGTGAAATATTTTCTTCACTCGGACAGTCTTTGTCTTGGCTTTTTAGGGTACCGTGGTAAAAATTAAAGTTTTACCGTAACTTTAACTCCATTTTTCACTAAACCGTTCGTTTGGAATAGCTAGAAATGCTTTATGGGATATTGCATTTAATATGAAGGCTAACTATTTTGTCGCTATGTGGTTTAAGTTCTAAGAAATATATAAAAATATCCTCAAATAAATAGATTAATACTGCATAATTGCGATGTTGTCATATTTAATTCAACGTATAAAATGTTTAACATTAATGCGTTGTTAGCATGCAACGATTTGATTTCAATACGGAACCCTTAGCTTATGTAACAAATGTCAAGCCAAGCCAATCTTTTCGAGAGGAGTTTAATATTCGAGTTTTGGCTCTGCGAAGCGGAAGATCTCAAAGAAACTTGCCACCTGACGTTTTTATCTTGACCGTTTGTAAAATCCAGCTTTAATTGTTTTTTATATAATCTTTAACTACTTTTGGACGCTTTTATAACCTATGATTTCCCAATATATAAAAGTTAGATAATATTAGAATACGTATACTTTAATAATCAGCTGTCCTAACATGCACTTTCTAGTGTATGTATCAAATGCTAGTTCATCCGCCATATTTAATTGCGAAGTATTCTTTTTTCTAAATTCAATATTTGTTTTTTATATAAGCCAGGATCATTACAGTAATGTCAATACTAGGATTGTCTATGGAATCTATTTTTCATAAATTCAAACAAAGAATCCTCGAAACTACAAATTATTGAGGGAGTTTTTCAAGTCCACCCCACAATTTTCTTTTCATCAAAGGGTGGCTTCGGTAATTGTCGACAATTTGATGTGTCGTGTTATTAATGTTACACATTTACAGTAGTAAATATTGCTTTCTTTTATTTACTCCGATCGCGCCTGGGTTTCCTTATATTTACGTAGGTTCATAATATTTTTTTATTGAATAATCTAAACAAAATAACGGTGGTATTATAGATGTTGATATGCTAAATATACCACGTTTGTTACAAAATGTTTAACATATAAAAAAACTCTACTACTCACTATTCCAATAAGTTTAGTTTTATCTATGTTCCCTGTGCACTGGCACCAAATGTCAAATTAGAAGCATTAATATGTACCTATTTCTTTAATGACAAGTCATAAGTGTACAATGTGTTACCTATATGATTAAATTATTGTTGAATTTGAATTTGTAAGTATTAACTTATGAGTTGGGATACTATATTTCTATACCAAGTAAAATAATTTGTTCACACCAAAAAGTCACTTCGTTTGAATATATTGCCATTTAATTAAAGACCTTGCAAAATGTCACAAAGTCACCACCTTCCGTCAGGTTGTCATGTGTGGACATTAAACTGACAATTATGACAATTAAAAAACTCATTACGCACTACCTACCAATCATTCAACCATAGATAAATATTTAATTACTGGCAACTTTAGTATTGTTCGATTAAAAAACGTGGGAATAGACAACATGTTCCATTTTCGTAGTCTGTAAATTTTTTATTCATTTGTAAAACGATATTCAAACGATTTTTGTATTATTTTATCGTATGTGTATATTAAATTTTAAAATACCAAATTTTTACGTAATTATAAAACGTTATTTAAACAAATTATTATAAGCAATTCTGGTGGCTGCAAAATAATTGCTCAACAAAAGCTCATAAGATTTTATACAAGGCGTTCGCACTGTAATTTGTCCATAAGTATAATTTAATTTAATAGATGTTGTACAAAAACATTCGTTTATATTTGCGCAATAGACTAACAAATAGCTAACCTTTAGAGCGCGTAAAAACAAGCAAATTTAAACTAACGTAGGAGTGTGAAAAAAGTTAGAAATAGAATTATGCACATAGTAATGCCGGTAACGCCCATCGGAAAAACACGTAAACGAATTTTTTCTCTAACACGTATTCTACGTTCGAATGCCACGCGGGGATTGGCCGCCGCGCGCTCTAAAGCTGGCCATTGGCTAATTTTTTTTCCCGCTTTTCACGTACACGGTCGAGCCAGTTTTTTTTTCGTGGAAACTTCGGCCAATGGAACGCGCGTAGTTTTAATTATAAAAGTTGTCTGACATATGGAACTATAAATTGTCTATAAATGTGGTTATAAAAACGTGACGCAACGATTGCTTATTTCATTAACATTAAGTTGTTTATTGCTAATGTAGTTTTATGTTTATTTAATAATATCATTAAGCAGAGGTTTTACGATTTTATTTTATATAGCGGACGTTTATAACTTATTGTAGATTTGCACAGTGAAATTTTAATATATCTACTTATTTAAAAAATTACAAACCACGCCTTTCCTTTTTGTTTCAATTATTAATTAATGTTTTAGTTTAAACCAATGTCAGTTTACAATCAAACAGTTGATTGAGTTAATATAATCTATATCTCTTCATTCTACAATATTTTTTTATCTGTTCTACCTAGTAGCTATAATCTTCATTTATTTTCGCGCGGGAAATAACTCGATGCGATCTGTTTTATAATGGGCGGTCAGTTTAAATTTGGAATTCCAAAGACGTATTCCGTATGCCGCGATGCGTTCATGTTTTATTAATTCTAGTTTATTTTAGATGCACTGTAATTTTGGCTTGTGAATTTGATTTGAAATTCATTTTTAGTAAATATAATAATGACATTTAAATTGGAACTTGTTATTACATCAAGTTTGTTTTAATACTCGTACTTCAACCAATGAATTTATTTTTAAGTTAATTCTTGGCTTTATTCCTCCAATTACGTCATAATTAGGAATAAGTTATGAGTGTCATTTTGTCTATCAATGTATTCTTTCGAACTGAAAGACGACACATTATTAAAATTTATACATTAACTAAGGTTATAGTATTTGGTTTCACGTGTTTCTTGTTGTAATTCATATTCGTATTAATATTATAACAGAAGATTGTGTTTTGTTTTTAGCTTGTTTAATACGTAAACCATTTTACATAATTCTTTTCATCCAACATCAACGTAAGCTCGGCATAATGTACCGCATCTCATTATACATAATGTGAACTATAAAATGTATATAGTCAAAATGGTTGGTCCGGCAGTCATCGCGTCGCTGATTCTATCGATTTTCACCCCACCCCTTATGTATCCCAAAGTGGGGTGGGTATGTCACGCTGCATTATAGTTTCGCGATTTTTGGTCAAAGCTTTACTATATTAATTAATGTAATCCCTTGGTACTATCGTTGTCTGATCACAATTTCGTCGATCATTTAACTTTATAGATACTGTATTTATTTATTAAAAGAAATTATCTCTCATACATAGTCTTTATAGTCCACGACTTCTCTAGAGTTAAGTAACAAGGAATAATATATATTGTACTGTTTATAGAGATGTATCATGTCAGGTATCAGGTGATTGACCTATGGTTTCTAACCTATGGTTCCCCAGCTTACCAACACGTTTTAGTACTCTCAAAATTATGTAATACACTTGCTCTATATTGATTTCAAAATAAGAAATCGGAATTTGATACGTACTGTGGCGTCCGCTACAACTGCCGTAGTTTGACGCCTTCAGACTAAATATTTTTTTTCGGTATTTCTTGCCTTCTTCGGTCTGAAACCTAAAAATAATACAGACAATCGTATGTACGGATTTTGTAAAATAGGATTTATTTAAATTAGAGTTAAAACTTTTAAGATTTGTCTTAAAACTGGCCAATGCGAAAAGTTATCTCATTTAAGGGTGAAATTAAGGAATTGTATACGCTTCAATGAATACGAAAGTAATATGTAAAATTTCAGTAGAATTTATCGGGTAATTTGATATCAGAAGCGTACCTTTCTTGCCATTAAATTATATTTAAGTGTTTTCTTCTAATAGTAAAATTCCCCACATAATAATAAAAACCTTTTATTTTTGATACTTTGTGATTGATAGATTTAATTACATTTATGTTACTATCACCTCATTAATTCCTTTTCTGGCAAAGTTCTCCTTCAAATCTGCCGTTTCTGTCTGCAATATCGCCACTCTCTGTCATGTACCTGATGTTTCCAAAACCTGATCTATCCACCTTTTAAATTGTCTTCCACTTTTGCGTTTATTGTACCTTGGGCACCAGTTTTATACTTTGTTCCTCCACTTTTCTGTTTATCTTGACTTGATAATATATGGGTAGGTAAAAAAATATTAGTATATTACGTAATTGGTAGACTTATATGCATAACATATAGACAAAAACATACTTCTCACTTTGTTGACTCAAAACACTAATACCATTTAAAAAAGGATCATCATCAAAGTCTCATTATTCCTGTGACCAAAAGACACAGACACTTTTCTAGCTCTTTCTACTCATTTCTATCAATATATAGCCACACAATAATGGTTTCATCTCTTCATTTCCTCTCTACCTCTTTTCTGGTGTCTCCCATGCGATAGTGTACATTTTTGACTTGCTCTTATTATGTGCCACGACCATCAACAATTTAGCCTTATTTTCTTTTATATGTCTACGCTCTACCCCATTTCTCAGACAACTACCAAAGGAAACGC